GCCTCTCAAATTAACTAATAAAATGACAAACTGCTATCTATGTTGTATCATTGTGGTTATTTCCTTCTTGCTACCAAGTGTGTGAGGTTGCTTGGCTATCATATAAATTTCTACTCTCAACAACCATTTAACCAACTTCCCAGGTAATTACACTGATTCTTTTCTAGTCCTATCTTTAGGCTTCACAAAATGCCTCTCATAATTCTAAGTTGACTTCTACATTATTTTTAATAGAAAACTTTTATTTAATAAATATAAATTTCAAAAGCACAACTTTTGGATTATAGCAGTTCTTTCCCCCATAATCACCCTCCCACCCGCAAACCATCCCATTTCCACTTCCTCTCTCATCTCATTCTTCATTAAGATTCATTTTTAATTATCTTTATATACAGAAGATCAACTCTATACCAAGTGAAGATTTCAGCAGTTTGCACCCACGCAGACACACAAAGTATAAATTACTGTTTGAAGACTAGTTTTACCATTAATTCTCATAGTAAAACACATTAAGGACAGAGTTCCTACATGGGGAGCAAATGCAGAGTGCCTCCTGTTGTTGATTTAAGAGTGTCAATTGTTGGGCCGGTGCCGCGGCTCACTAGGCTAATCCTCTGCCTTGCGGCATCGGCACACGGGGTTCTCGTTCCAGTCAGGGCACCGGATTCTGTCCCGGTTGCCCGTCTTCCAAGGCCAGCTCTCTGCTGTGGCCAGGGAGTGCAGTGGAGGATGGCCCAAGTGCTTGGGCTCTGCACCCCATGGGAGACCAGGATAAGCACCTGGTCTTATGCCACGGCGGCCATTGGAGGGTGAACCACCGGCAAAAGGAAGACCTTTCTCTCTGTCTCTCTCTCTCACTGTCCACTCTGCCTGTTAAAAAAAAAAAAAGAGTTTCAATTGTTAAATTAACTCCTATATTACTGTAGTAACATTCTACTGCACAGAAAAACTTCCTTTGTCAGCTGAGGCTATTAGTAATTCTCAAGCTATGATTCCTAATCAAAGCAGAGGAAGGCAGGATCACTGCTTCCATAACAATGACCACAACTCGACCTTTTCTCAAATAGCCACAGCTCAAGCACCATGACTCTAAGAATAGGATGCCTTGTGTGAGGGAAGATTAGACTGTTTGTGCTCTTTGACCTAGTAATTTCATTTCAGGAATTTATGCTAAGGAAACAAACAAACAAAACAAAACACAAAAACATACGCAGATGATGTTCCTTACAGGTTTACTTGTAATAGCAATAAATCAACAAATAAATAGAAACAAAAATGGAGGCCAACATTCAAATCTCCATCAGCATAGGATTAGGTATGTCCCAGATGCTGCACCAAACAAGATTAGTTTCCTAATGGGACCTTACCCTACTGTCCAGTCTCAACAAACTATGTGATCTCAAAAAAACACCAAAGACAAAAAAGCTCTCCATGCTTCAAATCCACCAATAGATTCTAATTTTATTTTATTAATTATTTATTCATTTGAAAAAGCAAAAATTGCATTTTAATTAAAAATAAAAATATATTCATTATATATTAATAAATTATGAACAATGGGTATTTCAAAAGTTTGAGGGAAATAGAATTCAAAGCTAAATTTATTTTAGTGGAAGAAATTTTGAAATCTATGTATATATGTACTCTTTAAAAAGTAATAGGACATGTTTATTATAAAAATCTATACATAGATTCAAGTCTTCTTCAACAAAAATAATCTCTTAATTCCATTTTGCATGAACTATTTGAAATATCATTGTCTGCATTGTTCTGAAAGATGTACACATTGTAGAATGACCAAACAGTGAATTAACACATATATCATCTTGCACATTTTTAAGAGGTAGTAGTCCTTAAATCTATTTTTTTCAACAACTTTAGAGAATACAATATATTTTTATTAACCATAGTCACCATGTTTCACATTTTATTCATGTCCCAGCTCAATCATCTTCTATCTTTTGATTATACATGCACATTTTTCTTCTGCTAATTAAGATCTTCAACTTAATTGTCTATTGAACTTAAGTGTTCTTTTCCTAGTTTTCTTAAAGTTACCCTATTATTATGCTTTAATGTTAAATATTAGCAATTAGTTATGTCTTTCAAACTACTATAGCTAAACTAACATTTAACCCTGTACTAGGACCTGTCACATTACAACATTTTATTTTTTTTCTCCAGAGCTCTTTAAAAACATGAACTATTTTTACACAAAGTTTTATTTTGTACTACATTTTTGAAATATGAGGTCAGAGTTTTTGACATTCAGCCCACTCCAGAATGTAGAATGAATTATAGAAAATTCAGATATATGACCTTCATTTTCAATACAAGTTATCAATTAACAGGCAGCCCCACAAAGCAAAAAACAAACTAAAACAAACAAAATAATCCAGAAAACTGAAAATCAGAGCAATTATATTTGTTATGAAAGAGTGCTTTATAGGCTGATAATGCAGAATTAGTCAGTAGTAAATACGGAAGTGTCTACCTTTGAAGGTCCGGGAAAGTTTACATGCTTCTCTAAAAGAAAACAGGAGAGACATGGCTCAATGAGGATGTGATACATTTTGAGGGGCTACAGTCCTTTTGTAGACATGGAAAGGGTAGTTGATGGGCTGTGACTACCTGAGCATATAAGTGTAAAGAATGGGTCTCTGATGGTTGAGGCACTAATTCACCAATCAGAATAGATGGACTTCAGGAACAAAAATGGAGACATGCATAGCCTGTGATGGTTGCAGGCACATGTGGGTGGAGACACTGGGAGTCAGACAGGGCATGCACATATAGGGTTTGTAGACATGAAATGTAATAAAGTGGATGCAAATAAACCATTGCTTAGAGATAATTTATAGTCTTAGATGATTATGTTAGAATAAAACACTGAAAAGCAATCATTATAGCTTCCTTGTCAAGAATTTAAAAGAAAATTAGAAGAATATTGAATAAAGGAAAGAAAAAGTAAAAGTAGACATCTATCAAATACCATTAAAAATACCACACATAAAAAAGGATCCAATGATTTTTAAAGAAAAATGTTAATAAAGTTAATAAACCATTAATAAAGGCAATTAGGGAAACACAGGGAAAAGTAACACAAATAACCAATTTCAGTAATTAATATAGAATCATCCTTTTGTAGAGGTTATAGCCCTGGCCTGAAGCACTGGCATCCCATATGGGTGCCAGTTGGAGGCCTGGCTGCTCCTCTTCTCATCGATCTCTCTGCTATGGCCTGGGAAAGCAGTAGAAAATGGGAAATGACCCAAGTTCTTTGACCACTGCACCTGCATGGGAGACCCAGAAGAAGCTCCTGGCTCCTGGCTTCGGATCTGCACAGCTCTGGCCATTGTAGCCATCTGGAGAGTGAACCAGCAGATGGAAGGCTTCTCTCTCTCTCTCTCTCCCTCCCTCTCACTCTCTCTCTCTACTTCTCTCTTTAACTTTATCTTTCAAATAAATAAATCTCTAAAAAAATACACCATGTTTTGAAAATTGAATTTCCAAAACACAAGTGTAACATAAAACAATATAGGGTGATCACTGATGCCATAAACAAGAGTGTCAATTTGTTAAGTCAACAACAGGAGTCACTGTGCACTTACTCCTCATGTAGGATCTCTGTCCTTAATGTGCTGTACATTGAGATTTAATGCTATAACTAGTACTCAAACAGTATTTTTCACTTTATGTTTCTGTGTGGGAGCAAACTGTTGAAAGCGTTACTTAATACATGCTAAATTGATCTTTTGTATATAAAAATAATTGAAAATGAATCTTGATGTGAATGGAAGGGGAGAGGGAGCAAGAGGGGGAGGGTTGCGGGTAGGAGGGAAGTTATCGGGGGGGGGGTCATTGTAATCCATAAGCTGTACTTTGGAAATTTATATTCATTAAATAAAAGTTTAAAAAAGCCATAAAACAGGAAAGCTTCTAAGTAAGTTGAATCACATTTTGAAAATCCCAAACAACCAACCAAGAAAAAAGTCACACAGTAAAAATTTCAGGTCCAGATTTACAGAATGCTCCAGAGTTTTAAGGTAGAAAAAAACAGATCTACATTTCCCAGACCTACCCAAAGTAAAAATAAGCAGAGAAAATTTTTAAATTTCCTTTGGAAAATCAATGTTTCTTTGATGATGAAGCAAGTGGACCAGGCTATGAAATAAAAAATAAGTTTTTTAAAAGCATCCATTCATAAACTGAGCTATAGGTATCCAAAGCAAAGTAATAATGTAACAAATTAAACCCCATAAGAAAACATCAATAGCAAGCAAGATATAATAAAAATGAAACAGTTGTTAAAGTTCTCAGACAATTCATCCAGGTAGGTAAAATTACAGGTAGAAAAACCACATCATGTAGGTTACATGTTGTAAAGCATTTAATAAGGTTCAGCATCTAGTAAAAAAATTAAAAACTGCTAGCAGAACATTGAAATAATAAAAGCTAGTGAGTTCATTACTGTGATCAAGATTGAAAGGAACTTACAAAAACAGTGCAACTAGTACAGGATCACTGGATTTTCCCCCTCCTGGGAGTAAACCTAGACCATGATACCTGTACTATCTCTCTTCAGCTTTCTATTGCAGGAGTAGTCAGGGAAATAAAACAGTAAAAAGAAGCTATAAGGTGCAAAAATCAACTTCTAAGTAACAAAATGTGACTATATTGGATGCTGCTTTAATACAGAGATGAACTATGAAGTCTAAAAACATACAAGGATAAATGAAATTACTGGAAAAATCAATATATAAATAATACATAAAATATATAAAATCCACTGGATTACTAAGTACAGCAAGGAATAGAAAATAATATTAAAGGACAATAGGCAGACTAGAAAAAAGTCTGCAAGAGGAATGGAAAAAAGGATGAAAGTATTCAATATATTTAAGTATTCTTAAAATTAAATTAAAAAATGAATGAAAAGAAAAATTAAAAGAAAAACAAAGGCTCAGAAGGCAATAAACAGTCTCTAAATTGTAACTGACCTGAATGAAGTAGGCTGCTGCAACCCCCAGGCAGGATCCTCTCAGGAACAGGGACCAGGGAGGCAGGAGGGGCCAGCAGGTGGCAGGACCAGGAGGTGAAAACCCCTCCTGCTGCTTGGCAGGTGATGTGAGGACTCTGTCGGAACTAAGCCGGGACCGGCCCCTACTTTTCTCCCCTGTGACCCCTGAAGATACGCGTCTGCGCTGTGGAGGGTGCTGATTGGCTCCGTTCTGTATTACGTGTGCGTGCCCTCGGCTACCCAAACTGTCCAATCAGGGGCGCTTGCGTAAACAATGCACAATCACGCGGGATCTTGACGCCACAGTAGTCTTCCGGTTTTGCGGTGGAGCGAGGTCCAGGAGGAGTTTTCACGGATGGGAACCTGAGAAGGTGAGGAGCGTCCGTTCGCTGTTTTCTGATCTTCCTTCACGCAGGACGCCTGGCAGAGGTGAGTGTGCGGGACAAGGAGTGCGCGGAGGGGTAGGGGGGAGTTGGCAGAAGTTGATGTTCTGCCTGGCAGGACTCGCAGGGCTCCGGAGGTTGTCCCCAGGCCTCATGTCCCTGCTGGCACCTCACTTCCTTCGCCCCCCGCTGCTCCGCGGTGTAGGCCTGGACTGGCACCTGGGACTCCGGGCTTCCTGTCGCTTCCTCACAGACTTGTCAGCCCGGAGCCATCTCTGGGCAGCTGTGTGGCAGCAGTCGCCCATCTTCCCCGATTGTGCAGTGGGGGTGAGCGGTCCTTTGGGAGAACCCGTGCTGGGGGTGGGAGGGTGCATGCAGGCGAGCAGCTGTCCTCTATGGGGTCCTCGGTTCCCCTTCTCATCCCAGGGCTGACCCTACTCTGACTATGTCAGAGGCAGGGTCTCATTTCGCAAACTCTGACCTCTCAGCATAGCTCTTTCTGGGAGTCTGATATCAGTGTTTTATAGACTAGGCAAGTTAAAATCAAAGCTGTGTGGTTCAAGGCTTTTGGTCCAGGTTTTAGTGGGGCAGGGGGACACTGTGTTTGATACTTGAATGTCATTTTATCACGCACACATTCCCTTAACAGGCTGTCATCTGTGTTTGAACTTTCAAAATAGAAACTTCGGTTACATTTATGAGTGTTTTAAAAAAGATTTCTGTTCCATGATTACCTTCCCAGTCCCAAAGATAAAGTAAACTAGATTCCTAAGTTATTTTTAATTTGTATTTTAACAAGGTAATTTTTCAAGATTATTTGAGTACAATTGACAAAATTGGTTTTTACTGAAGGCGTGCAACCTGATATTTTGATACATTACTGGAATTTCAAAAGTATATGGAAAATTAAGATTATTTTTAAACCTATTTTCACAAAACATTTGGAGTCCCCATGTGCATATATATCATGAAATTATTAGGACAATCCAACTTTCATATCCATCAACTTACATCGTTCTTAAAAGAGTACTTAAGTTTTTAATAAGTTATATCTAATGCTGTATTCATCTCGTTATTGTGTTGTATATTATATCTCAAGGAGTTAATTTATCCCATAATTGTAAATGTGTATTGTTCCAGTAACATCTTTCCATTTCCTCCACTCTCAGGCTCATGGTAACCACCATTCTGTTCTGTCTTTCATTTGACTTTATTATATTCCACATATACATGAGATATGTGGTATTTATCATTCTCTGTGATATTCCAAATAGTGTAATGTCCACATCGGTACTTTTGGATCCAAATTGTGAAAAATGTCAGAATTTGCTTTTCTCCACATCTGATTCAGCATTTGACACTTTTGATTTTATTTTACTTTTTGATAATATCTTTTTAGCCTATGTGAGGTAGTAGGCATTATGGTCTTTATTAGCATTGCTGAGCCATTTTTCATATGATTGCTTGCATACGTTGATTGGAAAATCTGATCAAATACTTTGTCCATTTTTATTACAGTATTTGCTTTTGCAATATGTATGTTCTTTATATTATTACATTACTCTTACTATCATCTGCCAAGATTTTCTCCCATCTATTTCTTTTTTAATTTTTTCTGTTAGTATGCAGAATCATTCTTCAGTTTTTAAAAATATTTATTTATTTGAAAGGAGAGTTACAGAGACAGAAGCAGAGAGACAGCAAGAGACATATTCCATTTTCTGGTTCACTCCCCAGATGGCTGCAATGGCCAGAGCTGGGCTGATCTGTACCCACAAGTCAGGAGTTTCTTTTGGGTCTCCCATTTTTCTCTGCTATGCCACAGCTCTGGTGACATCTTCAGCTTTGTGTTAAACCTATAAATCTTTTATTTAAGATATAAAAACTTCATGCATTTTGTAAATACAAATTTAGGAACATAGCGATCCTTTCCATCCTGGCCTCCCTCTCACCTGCACCCCCCACCCTTCTTCCTCTTCCCCCTCCTATTCCCAACCTTATTTTTTGCTAAGATTTATCTAAGATATATTTTCTATTAACTTTAAATGCAAAAGATTAACCCTACACTAAATAAAGAGTTAAACAAATAGCGTGAAAAAAAAAAAAAACCAAAACACTGTTCCTCAATAGTGGAGACAAGGGCTGTTCGACGTCATTACATCTCAAAGTGTCGCTTGCATTTCTACAGATTACCTTTGAGGCATACCACAGATCAGGGAGTTCATTTAGTATTTGTCTTTCTGAGACTGACTTCCTTCACTAAATATAATATTTTCCAAATGAAAATGAAAGTATTCCATTTTCATTTTGTTTTTTTGCAATCCTACTTCCTTATTTTTGCTTTTGTCACCTATGCGTTTTGTGTCATATCCAAATTATTGCTGAGGCTAAAGCCAATGGATTTTCTCCCAGTATTTAAGGAGCTTTAAGTTCTGAGATCTTCTGTGTAAGCCTTCAATCCATTTGGATTGATTTTCAGGCATGGTGTAATATAATGATTCACTTTCAGATTCTGGCATGTGGATGGCCAATTTGCCCCTGCCTCCAATGCTGGCCCCCAAAATGTCCAATGAGTACACTCAGTGAACCCATTGTCACTTGATCAAGCACCCCTGATGCTGTGCCTGGAGCTGGACAGTGATAAGGTAGAAACTGGCAGAGTCCAGTTTTAGCATCACTTGCTATCTCATCTCCCAGGCCCATCCTGCTGTGCTCTGCTGCTCTGCCCTGTCTGTATTGGGATACCACAGAAGGGGAGAATTCAGGGAGAGGGACATGAGAAGAGTTTGGGATGATGGGGAGAAACAGACCGTGCAGTGATGGGGTTGGGCTCATGGGGCTGTGTTCTCTCTCTGCAAGCCAGAGATGTGGAGGTAATTCAGAACTTTCCAGGAGGGATGGACATTGTGTTATAACCTTGTTTAGAATGCACATGTCCCATATTGGGGTGTCTGGGCTAAAGTTACATCTTCCACTTCCAGCTTCCTGCTAATGTGTGTTCCTGGATGGGGGGGAGTGATAGTTGAGGTAGTGAATCCTTGCCACCCACCTGAGAGACCCAGGTTGAGTTCCTGGCTTCAGCTTGGTCTGGCATGGCCATAGCTTTATTGGGCATTTGTGAAGTGAACAAATAGATGAGGGTGTTCTCTCTTCCTCTCTGTCTCTGTGCAATCTCTTTTTCTTCCACACTAATTAATTAATGAATTTGTAAAAACTGCATGGAATAATTGGTACCAAATCAGAGTTAAATTATAGGAGTAAATTCCTAGTGTTACATAGCATATTGGAGTAACTATAGTCCATAATCTTATATTTTATGAACAAATAGAATTGTGAATTGTGATTTTGAGAAGGGAATGTGTTGTTTACCCTGATTTGATCAATATGCATGGATTAAAAGCTCATACTGTATTCCATAGATATGTACAATTATTTTCAATAAAAAATTAAAAAACAACATTTTACTTAGTGTATAATGTTACAAGTTGTTGAAATATTTAAATTAGTATCACAATTAATGTGATCTTTGGAAGTAGTTTATTAATACAAATGTAATCTAGAACACATGGACTGATATTTTGTCATGTTAAGTGGAGCAATCAGGAGGCAGTATTTTATCTTAAATTAATGATTAATATTTTAAACTGTTTCATGTAAGAAAAAAATTAATTATTTCTTAAAGTGTATATGGAATTAATTAGAATTAGGGCAATATCAACAAGAAATGTGGAATTAAATGTTGGGTTAATTTTGATGCAGAAATTTCTTGAAACATATGTATAGTTCTTTCATACAAAATATTGTCCATGAATTTGAAGTCCTCTCATATTCATGCTTTCAAATATTTTTGAAATAAAATGAACATATTTTAATTTCATGTTCCACAAAATACTTGAAGCCCCCTCATATTTACTGGTTTTTAGTTTCTTCTGTGAAGCCCAAACTCATGAGCCTGTCTGTGCGGTCCTAACTGTCCCATGTTTTCAGTGTGTGTTCCATGCTTTGTACTACTTTGGGAGTCATATAATCATAAGCACAGTATAAGATAAGCCCATTTTCATTAATTCCACAAATGTTTCATATTATTTACAGTACCTCTTCATGACTATTAGTCCCAGACAGGTCTTAATCCAAATTTTGTCTCCAGACATTGACCTTTTCTGGACTGACCCATAATTGGAATCATATAGTGTTACAGTATGTGTGGTTTTGCTTTTTATTTCTTTTCTCTCTTTTTTCCCTTTTTTGAGTTTCATTACTTTTGTAGTCTGTCATTTCATAATTATTTTTGATTTCTAAATAGTATAGCATTATAAAAGATATACTACATATTGTTGTTTTTCCACATCAGTATTTGGGTTGCTTTCACATTTGGGTTTCATGAATATTGCTGAAGTGAGTATTTGGGTGCATGCGGGCTTTGTATCTTTTAGTGATGTATCTTGGAAGGAAACTGCTGAGGCAATCAATAATCCCATGTAAAACATGCTGAGAAACTGCCAAATTATTTTTCCTAGTGGTCTCACAGTTTTATTGGAAGTTTGTTTACCTATAGCTGAATCAGTCATTTTATTGAATGTGAAGTTGGATTGTCCAGAGGCTTTGATTTGCATTTTCACAATGATTAACTTTAAGCATACCTCTTTTGTAATATTAAAATGTGTTACTGAAATCACTGCTTCATTTTATTATGCTTTTTAATTATACTTTGTAATTTTAGTATAAAATCCATGGTCTTATTTTAATTCATTAGTGCTATTTTCATTCTGTGATGCTACATTGAATGTTCTCATTGATTATATTTTCAGAATGTTCATTGCTACTAAACAGAAATATGATTGATACTTGAATCTTTTATATTTTGCAACATTACTGAATTTTACTTTGAGTGGGTCTATAGTGAATTCCTTAGGATATATTTTACATACAAGATTATGTGTTAGGCATTACAAGCCAAGTTTGCTCTTTTGTTTCTAATTTGGAGAGTTGAATTTTTTATTATGAGGTCTTTAGCAGAATCCTCTAATACACTGTTGAGTAGAACTT